CCTCTTGCCTCAGCCTCCCATAGTGCTGCAATTGCAAGTCTGGGCCAACACCCTAGCCTTCTATTTTCCCTTTAATTGAACAGTTTCCTGCACTCCTTGTTATCTTCTGGCTTACTATGGAAATTCTATTTAGTTAATGAACTATTGGGTACTGGAGGTTGAAACTTGGTTGCGATTGATTAAACTCATTCCCATCTCTGGTACTTTTTTTTTCAATTAATTAATTTATTTGTGTGTGTGTGTGGCCAGCTCTGCCCACCAGGGGGCGGGGCTGGCTGGCATGTGGGGCTGGGGGATCGAACTGCGGTCCCTGTGCTTTGCTAAGCTTGTTCTAAGTAGGTGCTTTAGACCACTGAGCCATCTCACCAGCCCATCTGGTACTTTTTTATATTTTACTTTTTATTTTGAGACAGGATCTTGCTAAATTATCTAGGCTAAGCTCAAATCTGCTGTCCTCCTGTCACCCTATTGAGCAGCTGAGATCAGAGCCCAGTACTAGTGTACCAGCACTTCTTTTTTTATGGGACAGGGCATTGCTAGTAGGTCAGTGTATTACTTACTCTTCTCTCATTGCTGGGACACATACCTGATACTCAAGCTAAGCGAAGCGAAGATTTATTTAGCTCACAGTTACTGGAGGCTGCATACTTTAAAGCAGCCTAAATTACATAGCAAGACCTCAAGACACAGCGGTCCCACGCTACAGGGTCTGGAAGAGAGGCTGGGGTGCTGCCCTGTCCAGGATGGTGAGCTCCATACTTCCAAGAGAGGCCACCAGGCCTGGGGAGGGGAGAGAGGGCATGCTGTCAGTTTAAAGGGTCATGCCTCTCTGGCCCTGCCCCTCAAGCCCTGCCCTGGTCCTCTGGTCACGCCCGTGCAGCCAGGTGCTGCCCCTCAAGAGGCCACTGCCCCACGATTTACATGAGGCTTTAGGGCAACACTTTGATATAAACCATCACGGTCAGGTTGGCCTGGAACTGGATCTTCCTGCGTCAGCTTTAGAAGTTCATGTGTGCTCAGTGTGGTGGCATGTTCCTATAATCCTAGCAGTTGGCGGGCTGAGACAGAAGGATTTCTGCAAGTTTGAGGCCAGTGTGGGCTCTACAGTGAGTTCCAAGCCAGCTTGCACTATATGGTGAGACCCTATGCCCTACATCCCACACAAAAATATCTTGGCTTATAGCTGTGACCTCACTCAGCTATTTCTTTATAACTTTGTAGCAGTCATCCTGTTGTGTACAATATGTTCACATCTAATGAGTACCAACTTTTGTTTGCTTTGTCCTGGTGCTGGAGCCTGAAACTAGGCTCTCGCACGTGCTAGGCAGGCATTATCACTCAGCCCCATTCTTCACTGTAATCTAGCCTTTTTTACTTTTTAAAGAAGTGTTCTCACTATGTAACCTGGTCTTGAACTCACTACATAGCTCTAGCTGCACTCAGAATTGTGATAATCATCCTGCCTCAACCTTCAGACAGCTGAGGTTACAAGTCTGTACCACCAGGCTTGGCTAAAACAGTATTTTTTAGAAATCAATTTTAGTAGGACTATAAATACAGCTCAGTGGCATAAGCACTGGCCTGGCCAACACAAGGTCCTGAGTTTGATTCTCAGGATTGCAAAATCAAAACAAGAACAACAACAAGATTGTACACAAAAGTTGATTTTGGGAAATTTCAGAAGCCAAGAGTTCCAAGTTGTGCCCTAAGGATCCTGGGCCTGGTGGGCAGTGGGAAAGGGGGGAAGGGCAAGAGAAGGAAAAGGACATTGTGGTTTGCAGATGTGTCCCACAGGAGTATGTGGTCAAAGGAGTGGGAGGGCTGGGTGGCAGTGGAGGCCTGCAGAGCTCCTGCCCTGCCTCCATCCCCAAGTGGGTGTGAGGTCATTAAACGCCTAGGGGCAATTGGCCAGCATGCTGAGATGCACATCTTCTTTCTTACTTGTTGTGACAAGCTGCTTACTTATGTGGGTTCCATGGTGTAGTGGTGAGCACTTTGCACTCTGAATCCAGTGATCTGAGTTCAAATCTCAGTGGGACTTTTCTATGTGAACTTGCGGTAAGACCTTTCTGTTTAGTTGGGCTGAACACCATTTTCTTTCAGAGTTTAAAGGTGACTTAGCTTGGAAATGGCCAACACTGGGCTCTGAGGGCCTCTGCAGTGTGTGTCCCAGGATGTTTCACAACATGGTGATTTAGGAACACCCCTGTCGTGGGAACCTGTGGGTGGGCTTCTGGAAAGGAAGAAGGAAAGAGAGAAGTAAAGAAAGAGGGGTCTGGATTTTCTGCCTTTGTATCTTGTGGAAGACAAGACAGTCTGGGTCCAAGAAGGGCAGTGGCACAGCCGGGGCTCCCTGGGACCTGGGTCCCCCTGCTTCCCTCCCAGGAGTCCACCTGGGCAACCAGTTTCTCAGGGAGTCCACTTCCATGAGGAGTCTGCTGAGACCTCACCTCCAGGTAAGGGCGCCTGGTTCTCCCCTCCTAGGCCACTTCACTTTGTGCACTGCGAACCCTCAGCCCAGCCTCAGTTCTTGGCTTGGGAGGTCCTGCTTGGCCTCCCTGGGGACTAGGGACTCTGCTGGCGCCTCCCTGTCCTCAGAGAACCCTCAGGCCTCAGCACAGGACAGGACCTCTAAAACCTGCTCATTGGGACACCTTGCCATGGCACCTACTGTCTAGCAGAAAGGACTTCCCCGCGGGCTCCTCCAACCTGGGGTCCCTGTATTTTATTCGCGTGCTGATTGCATTCTGCAGGTCTGCTGGCTGGCTCTTTGCACTTGGATTTCATTCTGAATTGGTAGCTCCAAGTCTTATTGGTGACTCTGCGTTCCTCCCAAGAGCAGCATGGGACCTGGCCCCGGGCATAGGGGTCTTGGCCCTAAGGGAGGCAGGGAGTCCACTGGCCAAGTGTGCAGCCCCTGGCAGGGCGCCATCTCCAAAGGAAAGTGAGCAATCACAGGGCACCGCGGCTAGTCCCGCCCACGCATGGTTCCGGAAAGAGGCAGGGGCGCCACCCCGCCTGGACGAATTTTCTTGAACCCCGAGGGAGCATCAACAAGGATTGCGAGGGGCTGAAGGAGCGAGTTTAAAGTCTCTGCAAATACTGAGCACCAAGGAGCCTAGCGGTAGTTATGGTGTAGAAGTTAGGGCTTCCTTTCTCTCTCTCTCTCTCTCTCTCTCTCTCTCTCTCTCTCTCTCTCTCTCTCTCTCTCGTTTCTTCTGACACAAGATCCAGGCTCAGAGGTCCCTAGCACTGAGGCCCTGATGCAGCTGACACGGGAGCTGCCCTGGGATTCAGCTCGGGCCTCCAGTTGATGCTCCACGTGAGCCTTCTCAGAGGCGCTCCGCGCTTCTAATAGACCCCACTGAGAGAGGACTGCGAGTTATTGAAATTACCATTCATGAAGACAGAGGTATGAGCAGTGGAAGATAAGCCATTGATTTAAAGATCCCACCTCCTGCTGGGACCCTCGTCTGACCACTGACTGATCAGAGTGTCCCTACCTCGTCTCCAATCATCATTCCTTTGTGTCTGCTGCCAGAGCCATGGTGCCATTTACTCCAAGGACTAACTTGCTAAAATTCCATAACTGAGGTCACCTCTAGTTGCTCACCATCCACTTTGTGACTCCAAATTGTGTAGGACTCTGGTTTGGAATCCACTAATTCTTGCCTCCAGGAATCAGTTTGGGAGTACTGCTTCTCTTTCCATGTCCCTAAAGTGAGAAGGAGTGGCATTAGGCCTTCTCTAAATTTCTTGTAGAATTCAGCCGTGAATCTGTGAGAATCTGAGATTTCCTTTATTAGTAGAATTTAAATTACATCTGCAGTTTCATTGATGGGTATTGTTATAACCTGACCAAAGCACCGCCATCCTGTTCTGTGTGCGCCCTCTTAGTGAACCATGTCAGCTGCTGTAAAATGTACATATCTCACAAAACTTCTGTTCCTGTGAACTGTGCTGCAAGCCCTTGCCCCCACCCTTAAATTCCTAAAACTTCCTCAAGCCCCTAACTATATTTAGTCTCAGCAGCTGCCATGTCTTCCTGAACTCTATCCTTTGTGCTGATAGTTAATTTACAACCTTGTTAAAGCCATTTGGTCTGTAAGCAGCCATTAGGACTCCAGCTCTATCCTTTGTGCTGATAATTAATCCATGGCCTTGTTTTTCTAGCTTCACCCCTTGTACATATAGTTGATTTACAAACTTGTCCTCTCCAGAACCAAGTTCTTGTGCACATCGGACCAGGAAGATAACTAATTGTAGAAAAATACCAGCTGTGGTCTGGCCCCAGACGTTCCCAAGCAATATGAACCTAAGGCGACCATAGCCAATCCCTCCAATTCCTTTTTAAAGTCACCTCCCACTAACCAATGCCATTTGCTTCTGTACCTAGCTTGCTATCTTGATCCCACCCCTTACTTGCGGTGTTGTAGTTTAAAAGTAGATCTTAGATTGTAATCAGCATGCCTCTTTGCTCTCTTGCATAGAGACCGCCGCAGGGTACCTGCTAAAATAAAGTGCTTCTTTAACTTTTGAACTTGCCTCGTTGTCATTTGATTTTTGAGTTACAACAGGTTTTTTTTTTATTTTTTATTTTTTTTTATTTATTTATGTGTGTGAGTGTGTGGGGGGGGGGCAGCTCAGCCCACCAGGGGGCGCACTGGCTGGCATGTGGTGCTGGTGGATTGAACCGTGGTCCCTGTGCCTTGCTAAGCTTGTTCTAAGTAGGTGCTTTAGACCACTGAGCCATCTCACCAGCCCCACAACAGGTATTAATTTATTTGGAATTTTTTAAATTTCTTGGTCCAGCTTTGGTAATTCATATGTATCCATAAATCTGTCCATTTCCTTCTGTTTTTCGATCTTATCAGAACACAGGTTCTGAAGATGGTTGTTGAGGACTCATGAAGCAACTATGACATCATTCGAACTACAAAGTGTTGGCCAATGGTTGCATTTTACTCAATCCTAAACATACCAGGTATAGTTTCCTACAAAAAAAAAATAATAATAATAAATAGAAAATATCATGGAGAATTTTTCCTAAAAATTAGAACTAAATGTTCCATACATCAGAGAAAGGAGTATTAATACCTTCCTAAAAAAACTCTGCAAAAGAATTCTGGAGGAGACCAGTGTGCAAAGAGGTTACACATCACAAGAAATTCCTAAAAAGACAGAGAGACCAGCAAAATGTCATGTATGTGCGACCAAAAGAGTCAGGAAACCAAAACACACATATGAGCAGTGTCACTGATCTTGTGTGTGGAACGTGCCGTTTTCATGTGCAAAAAGTGCCTTGCATATAAGCATTCAAGTAAAGATTATTTTTGTGGTAGAGTTTTATTTGTACATTCACTGTAGCACACATAGACTTTTGATGGAAACCACTATGAAGCAGCTCCGAGCAGGATGTAAGAGCCCAATTGGCTTTCCATGCCTACTTGGGAGTCTGTCCACGCCGAGGCCCCTGGTCTGGAGACGGCAGGGGACGCATAGTAAGTGAACCTCTGTGAGTCACTGATCCCAGCTGAGGCCTGCAGTGGTGGGTGAAGCCTCGAAGCCTCCCAGGAGAAGACAAGGCCACAGCTAAGGACACCTGCTCCAAGCTCCATTAACTAGACAAGGACTGTAGCTGCAGACATCTCACTCCTGTGGGGAAGCCCTTCCTGGAGGTAACATAGTTCTCCTAAGTGGACATGATGGATTAATGGAGAGGTCCGTGAATGGTCCCGCACAGATGTCCACCCTCTTCAGTATTCTCCGCATTTGATAATTAAATAGATATTGGCCACCCAGAGGATGTCTTTGTCTTAACCTCTACCAAATCTCAAAATCTGTGAAAGGGTTTATCATCCTGGAGCCTTAAAATCATACCACTTATTTGTTTGTATTTAGGACAGGGTCTACAGGGTCTGTAGGGCCTCGGTGTGTAGATGTGATTTGTGATCTGCCTGTGTTCAGCCTCCCAAAAGCTGGGATTACAGGTGCCAATGTCCCAGTCTCAATGGCATCTCAGCCAGCTGGGGGCGTACGCACAGCAGGTATCGAACCTGGCTGCTGCACTCTAAGCAGGCACTTCAGTCTGCTGAGCTATCTGGCTGGCCCTTAACTCTTTTATTTTAGTGTTCTCTGTACACTCATTTGGGAGGTTGTGGGCCTAATCAGTGTGCATTCACTAAAGGATAACATTAATGTGTTTATTTATCTGCTTTTTTTGAGAAATGGTCTGACTGTGTAGTGCAGGCCAATCTTGAATTCAAGGCCATCCCCTGCCTCCCAGGTGGGCATCCCCTGACCTGCTGCACATAGAGATTTATATATTTCTTTTTAGATTTATTAAGCAAACAGTGTATGTAGGAAACATTGCTTTTCCTGAACAGGGTACAGCCTATTAAATATTTTATTGATATTCCATTTTCCCCCTAAATGCATGCGGTATAGTAGGAACCTCCTGAGAAAACAGCAAGAGAAGGGGTGACAGGTATGATCTGCCCAAAAGACAGAAATGACAAAGATTACATCAATGTTAACGTTTTCAATTTTTATTATATTTCATAAAGAAATTATTTCTACTCTTGTTTAGATTTTGTAAGCAGGCCAAGGGATGATGTTGAAAATTATGTTTCTTGACAACAGTATATTAAAATGTAATCTTATGTTTATTACTTCCTCGTGTGTCACGTGCACACCCTTGGGATCTGCAAAGCTGGTCCCCTATGGAAGCAATATTTAAAACTCTTTTAAGAGCTTTACAAGAAAGGAAGAGAAAGAAAAGAAATATCAGGAAAGCAGCAAAGAAAGAAAAAGAAAACAAATCCCCCAGCAGGGCTCAAGGAACTCCTGGCAAATGTTCCCATGAAGGAAGTACCTAGCAGTAAAACTAGCACTAATGCTTCACTTTTGGGCGGGGCAGTTCCTATCTAGTGAGCAGCTGGCTCTTTCTTTCTACGTTGCAGGTCTTATTCCGGCAGTGGAGGGTGCTTTTTCCAGGAGGACAACCCTACCAGTGCAGCACAGAGATATGGACGCGGAAAG